AACCAAAAAGGAAAGAAGGAAAAAGGAACAGAAAACAGGATAAACAGAAAACAAATGGTAAGATGGTACACTTAACCCAAACATATTAATAATTATATTAAATTTAACTGGATTAACACTGCAATGAAAAGAAAAAAATTATCAGAATGGAAAAAGTAGTATCAAACTATGTACACTTTAAATATTAAGACACCTACAGATGGAAATTTAAAGACTAGGGAAAAGTATACTACCATGTAAAATGTAATCATTAAAGAGATTGATTGGCTATATTAACATCATAAAATTGGACTTCAAGTCAACAGTATATTATTATAGTTAAAAGCAACATTTTATAATGGCAAAGGGTTTGAATAATCAGAAAGACATGACAATCATAAATATGTATGCCCCTAATAAAACAGCTTTAAAATATAAGGCAAAATTAAAAGGAGAAACAAAAATCTACAATCATACTGGTAGCTTTTAACACCTCTCAGCAACTGACAGGAAAACTGATTTTTGAAAAACTAAGCATAAAAATCACTAAGGACAGAATATTTGAACACTATCAACCACAACACCATAATTAATATTGATATTTAAGGAACACATCACTCAATGGCTGCAGAATGCAAATTATTTTCAGGTAAAAATAGTACATTCATCAAGATTATAAGTTGGGCCATACAAGTCTCAATAAATTTCCAAATACAGTAATCTTTCAGTGTACTATCTCTGACCATAATAGAAGTATGTTAGAAGTGGATAAGAAGAAGATATACAGGGAAAAAACCACAAATATTTCAAAAGTAAACAACACACTTCCAAATAACCAAAAGGGCGAAAGAAAATCACAAGGGAAATTAGAAACATTTCTAAGCATTTATTTGTAAACTGAGAAGCTGATACTAAAAGTTCTGTAAAAAGCCACACAGCAAGGATATACAGAGCATTCTTAAAAAAGAATAAAGTGACTTACATTACCCTCATTTCAAGAATTACTATAAAGTGACATACATTAGTGGGTATTTTTCTGGACTCGATTTTGTTCCATTGATTATTTTGTCAATTATAACACCAAAACTACACAATCTTGACTTTTGAGCTTGATAAATATGTCTCAAAATCAGGCAGTGTAAGTCCTCCAACTTTACCTTTTATGAAACTTGATTTTACTCTTTTAGGTCCCTTGCATTTTCCTATTTTAAAATTTAATTTTAAATCCTAAATTTTAATTTAATTTAAAATCCTAAATTTTAGAATTGGTTTGTATGTGTCCAAAAAAAAAAAAAAATAGCGTCCTAGAATTTTGACTGGGATTACATAATAGATCAATACAGGAAAAACTGACATTGTGACAATATTGCATTTTCTGATTCATGAATTTTGCATAGCTGTCCACTTACATATGTCTTTCAATTTCACTCTGGTATATTTTGTATATAGGTCTGGTGTATATTTTGTTAAATTTATCCTTAATTATTACATAGGCTTTGATGTTGTCTTTTAATTTCAATTTCTAATTATTTGTTTCTGATATTTAGAAATATAATTGACTTTTGTATACTGATGTTATACCTTGCAACACTGCTAAATTTACTTACTATTTCTAGGAGCTTCATCATAGATTCAGTAGACTTTCTATACGGATGCTCAGGTTCTGTGAATAAAAAGAGTTTTACTTCCTTATTTCTAATTGGTATGATTTCATTTGTTTCTTGCCTTATTGTACTTGGTAAAATCTCCAGTATAATATTGAATAGAACTGACTTGTTCCTTATCTTAGAAGGAAAGCATTCAGTGTTTATTAAAAAGCAAAAAATAATGTTTTTCACAAACTCTCCTAGTGATGTGTAAAAGAGAGACTACTTTGCAACTCATATTAGGATACCAGCATCACCCTGATATCAAATCTAACATGAAACATTCAAGAAAGGAAAAGTACGGCCGAATAGCCTTCATTAATATAGATGCAAAAATCCTAAGCAAAACATTAGCAAATTTAATTCAGCAATATTTGAAAATAATAAAACAGTACAACAAAGTTAGATTTATGTCAAAAATACAAAACTGAATTAATAATTGAAAAACAATCAAAGTAATTAACCATGTTATTAACAAAATAAATGGGAAAAGCCACCATCACCTTAAAAGACATATTATATACACTCAATACCTGTTCATGAAGACTTTCACCAAACTATGAATACATGGGAGCTTCCTAATATGATAAAGGATATTTACAAAAACAAACAAACAAACAAACATAGCATACAGAGTGTTTAAAGGTGGAACACTATAAGTTTCAAAACTAATCAAAACTAATCAATGATGATAGAAGTTAAAATAGTGATTACTTTATGGGCATAGCTACTAATTAGGAACATTATGGAGATTTACTGATTACTAATAATATTCTGTATCTTGATCTGAGTAGTATTTATATGGATGTGTTCAGTTTGTGAAATGTTCAGTTATAAATTTAAAGTTTGTACAACACTTTACTATTTGTATGTTACACTTCAATAAAATTGTTTAAGAAAATTTCAATAACGTTTTTCATTAAACTATAAATTATCTTTAAAGTTAGATCTCAGTGCTAAGTGCCAACATGGTCAAAATGCTTTAAAGAACAGTAAGAAAGTAGATCTGTTGCATATAAAGACTGACTACGAAGCTATACTAATTAAGATGACATAACATTGTCTAGAAATACAGAGTCTAGAAAGAAGCATACAAATATTCTGACTAGGATATATGACAGAGGTAGCCCAGCACCACACAGGAAAAAGGGGGATTATCCAATAGGCTGAGCTGTGAAAACTGGCTACTATGTGGGAAAAAATAAAATAAATAAAAATGGATCCTTACCTTATACAATACATGAAACACAATTCCGAATGAATTACAAATATAAATGACATAAGCAAAGCTTTAAAACTTTTTGAAGAAAACAGACGCACAAGTATTTCTGTATTTGGGATAGGGGAAGATTTCTTAAATGAGACGCTGAAGCACCAACTATATAAGATTAATTTTTCTAAATGAAAATCAAGAATTTCTGTTCATCATATGACACATTAAAGAAAATAAAAAGGTACACAGACAGAAAATACCTGCCACACATTTAATATACTAGAGATTAGTATCAAGAACCTTTAAAAATCAGTAAGAAAAAAATCCAGTAGAAGAATGGATAAAAGACATAAATAGACATTTTGCAGAGGAGGGCATTCACTTGGCTAGTAATCCTTTGAAGACATGCTTTATCAGTGATATATACATGACAATCAAAACAAAATTATTTTATTCTAATTCAGATGTCAACAAACTAAGTCTAACAATATACCAAGTGGTGAGGGGGATGGGAATCAACCAGATCTCTTATCCATTGTTGGTGTAAGTAAAATTGATGAAAACCCTTTTGAAAAATAAGTGACATGTATTCTGTGAAAGTAGTATTTTCACATCCTAAACCCAGGATTCCCATTATATTCCACAAAAATGCAGGCATGTGTGTACTAAGAATCATGTACAAAAATGTCAACTGCAGCACTATTCATAACAGCAAAAAACTAGAAATAACCCTAATACTCATCTACAAATGAATGGACAAGTAGTTACGATATATTCACATATAATAGAATATTTTAAATCACTAAAAATAAATGAACAGTTATAACAAACATCTTAGATGAATCTTAACACAGTAATGAATAAAAATTGCCAAATGCCAGGCAACAACACATTATGGTACATTTTTACTAATGACAAAACTAGACAATATTCTATTTCCTCATAAATTTGTACGTGATAAAACTTCCTAAAAATAATCAAAATGGTAAACAATTTAGCAGTTATCTCTGGTGAGAGAATCAGTGTACCAGAAAAGAGAGAAGGATACAAGTAGATGTAAGTTATTAGTAATTTCCTATCCTTGGATTAGGTGGTGGGACCATGGGTGTTGATTATAATAAAAAACAAACAATGAATTAAAACAAATATGCACATAAGATAATACTGTGTCATGACACAAATTTTATGATTAATCCAATTCTGTGCACCTGATGTTCAAAAAAATGCCATATAATACAATACAAAATTTTAAATTGTTGTCTTAGAGTTACTAGCAACACAAAATATGCTGGGTTGAAAAATTACTGTTAAAGGATCATTCTTCTATTAATTTCATTTCTTAAAATTAAAATTAATGTTAAAATTTGAAGAAATGCTGAGTCCCTTAAAAACAAATAAATTTATAGGAATAGGTATAGGATTTTTATAATTTTTTATATTTAAAGCTGAAAGTTACCTTGAAGAGGTACCACTAAATATTCTCTATATGACAAGCTCTGCATTTTCTTGACATGCATTATCTCATCAATCCTCACAAAGCTCTATGACAAAGATACCACTAATATCAACACCTTATTTGTAAAGAAACTTTGGTTGAAAGGGCTAAGAAATTTGTTCAAGTTCACAAAGCTCACAGGCAGAGCTATAATTTGATCCCCAGTTTATCTGAATCCTGAACCTGCATATTTATCTATATATCTATACTGTCTTACTTAATAGCACAGGAAATAGGTAGAAACTCCAAAATCATATGTTAAGGAAGTGGCAGAACTGGGACTAAACGATATTAATTACCATATACCAGGAATTATGGCAAATACTTTATAAGACTTTCTATTCAATACTCTTTTCATTCTATTAGCCCATTTAATAAAAAGTCTCAAAATTATTAATTTTCTCTTCATTATCATGTATCAGTCAAATGTTTCATCCCAGTGACTATACCAGATAGACCCTGTATTTCTACACGCATTTCTCTATGAATTCATATTATATATAATATCCATGTCTACAGAGTGTACAAAAAAAAGCACAGTGCAAAAGTTTATCTGACACGCATTCTAACGTATGCAAATTTATTTAAAATTTTTTTTGTTTTAGTCAGTTGTAGATGATTTAATATGGTATTATACTGGATAACAGCTTTAGAAAGTGTCTCTCACCTGTTCTGAGCGGTCTGAATCACATTCTTGAGGTAAAGGATAGAGTGCTCCTTGTGATTCCTGAAGCTTTTCTTTTAATTTAGCATTTTCTTGCTCTCTTTGAAATAGCTGATCCTGAAGACTAACAACACTTTGTCGGAGCATAGCTTCACTTGATTTTGTGGTTTCAAAACAAATATGTAACTCATTGTAAAGCTGTTTTGAAAAAATATATCCAAATTTATTAATAATCAATAAAATAGTTATGTCTGTATATATATATATCATATATATGAGATCTATGTATGGCACAATCCTTGTCCTCCCATTATTTTAATAGTCTAAGAGGAAAAACAATACACATGGAAAACTACATGATATAATCAAATATCAATATAAAACTCCAACTGATGTTAAAAAGGCAGTATGTTTTATTGCCCATTATAATATAGGAAAAAGTGTGATAAATTTCTAAGAAAGCTATAAACATTTTAAGCTAGCTATATTAATCTTAGAGGGCTTCATGAAAAGAAAGGACTTGAATTGAGCCATGATGGTATTACAGAAAATGACTGAAAACAAAAAGTCATTCTAAGAAGGAAGAAACAGAAAGGGAGTATAAGATATATATCAGTCTAATTGGATTCAATATATACATTTGAAAGAAGAAAAAGAAAAACTGAGAGTTCATTAAGGCTGACTGATATATTCCCACTTCGTATAAATAAGCATCTACACCTGCAGTAGGGGAGGAGCTGCAGAAGAGATAATAAGAGACAAAACCAGGCAATAAGACTGCAGATAGAAGGTAAAGACTCCTAAATGCCAGATTAAGGAAGATGGACTTGTTCCTGTAGGCAACAGGGAATCACTGAAGATCTTGAAAAGAGTGATAAAACAGAATCAGTATTCTGATGGCATGATAGATAATTTTAATTTTTTAAGTCAAGGCAACATTAATTAAATTTAAAAATAGGGTTTATCAATACTGTGAGACAGTATATGGTATGTAAGTGGTGTCATGCAGAGAATCATACATGGTAAACAATGGTATTCCTCTAATACTCACTAACTTACTTGGTGATTTTTCATCCTAACTTAGGATTGTGATTTAATGAGGCATAATTCAATTTGTGGTAACTGATTCTCATAAAAAATCCATATATATATTTGCTGATGACATTGGGAATGTGACCCAAGAATTAAGATTTGCTTTAAAAAGAAAAAAAAAGGCTAATAATGAGATAGAGATCTTACAAAAAAAGAGAAAAATTCCCAAGGGTAGAATCTCAAAATTACGTTGCTCATACAGCAGGTTTTTAGGTTTCCTCATTCAATTGAAGACAGGGAGAATCTTCCATTAGTTATTCTTGCCTTATGGGAAGAAACTTAACTACACGTAAGTTGTCAGAGTACTTTTCTGTTTGTATGCTATAATTTAATTGTTTTAATTTTAAAATAAAAAAGGCTTGTGAAATTTTTTTAAAACTTTCTTTCAGATATCATAATTTGTCATAAAAACATGACCCTCAAATCAATCCTCTGACAATTAGTTCATTATACTTTTTATTTTCTGTACGGGATTATACCTCTATATTACTATAAACACTTTAAATAATCCATTTCACTTTACAGCCAAAGTCTAAAAATTTTTTTTTATAAAAGAAAGGTCGTCTTTATGATTTATAAAGAACTGCAGGACATAAACTTGTACTTTCCCTTCCAATTATCTTTATACCAGGGAGTATATCCAGTGTCCTTTCCACAGCTGATACTATTGGATATTGTTAGAGGGAAGTGACAGTAGGAACCTGACAGCTTTGAGGAACAATGAAGGGGCCTTACAGTGACTTATCTGTGCTGTGTTGCTGCTTTCATGATTGAGTTCAGGGTAGAAAAGAAGCAAAACCTGGAGACAAGAGCTAAGTTGACTAGAGAGAACTGAAGCTAGGATGAGTGTTGAATAGCATATAGAGTCACTTTTCAGTTGAAAAATTATTTAACCTTCTTTCTGTCTTATTTATATGCTTTATAATATTAACCAGTTTTTACCCAATCAGTAGAAATCTTTGGAGGAAAATAACAGACCACAATATTATTAAAAAATGTATAGTTTTCAAGTTATACCTCAATAAAAATATTTTTAAAAAAGAACATACGGATTTCAAATATTTGAGAATCCCATGAACAGTAATAAGTATTGACAAAGAAAAACCCACAGTTTCCCTCCCATTGCCCGAAGTACAGGCATAATGATAGTGCACCATCAGGAATGAAGACCAATTAACTAGCCATTTAGTGCCAAGGATGCAGTATACTTTTCTCTTGGGTGTCATGTCTTGGGATCTTCCTTCACAGATGTAAGGCTCCTGTGCCTATTCCTTCATGGAAGAAGTCTCTACTTTAATGTCTCTTTTCTTCTCTTCTCTCCCTTCTTTTCTGATTCCATAAAAACAGTTCTCTTCTTATGTTCTCTACTTGGCTCTCTCTGCCATTCAATTTATGCAGTTGTACTTCCTCTTCAGAAGTTGCCCTGGCTTGATCTCATAGGACTGGGTATGCAACTCTGACACTGAGGCAAACTCTTTCTTTGAAAATACCCATCCTTCTGGCAGTTGGTAAAAAAGAACTGAAAAAGTCTGAAACAGATGATCTCAACCAGTCTTACTCCGTGGATTGGGACAAACTCTCTTTTATGCCTTAGTTCTTATTCCAAATATACATCTCCTACCTGCCTATTTTTATGATGGCTGATTGGACTTCACTTATTTAATAACAGTCAGACCACTCAGCTGTGCACTTAAAGAAAGCAAAGGCAACCCTTCAGCCATTTTTAATTTTAGGCCCTGGTCCACCAGTAAATGTGGCTAGAAAAGCCTTCAAGGAGATTGTCTGTCTATTTTTATTTTTTCTATATTTTTGGTGACAAAGCCTCAGGATAACAGAATGTTTGTTTCTCTAGGAGCTCTTGTAAGGAGGCAAAGGTTTAGGATGTTCCAAGCCCCCTGGCTAGAGACCATGTTATTCTCATCCCATTAATAATAGTCGAGTGAGTTAAAAAATAGTTCCCAAGTGAGTAAATCAGGTAAGGAAACAAATTCATTCATCTGTATAGGTTTAGGCATCCTGACTTATCACAATTGTTTTCAGAGAGGCACTTTACAATTTCTTTCCTCTAACAGTCCAAATAGCTGGAACAGGCCAGAATCTTTTGCAAGATTCTGGCCCTTAAAATCCCTAAATTAATTTATTATGCTTACTAGTCTACCTGTTTATTTTTTTGTTGAAGATATTAAAGTGAAAAGACATTAAGAGGATCCCTAGGCGACAGAAAGCAACTTATGTCCAGAAATATCACCCCAAACTCCAAGACCTTTAACTTTGAGGGGCTTAGCCTGAAGTATTCATGTCATATTTTTATTAGTGTTGAGGAACAAGATTACATATTATTTACCTAAACAATTTTGAAAAAGTATATGCTCTGTGACCCAATGACTAATTTGTTTAAAGGATAAAATTTTCCATATTAGTGAAAAAGCATACTATTTGCCACTCTGATTGAGATGATAAATTTTAAAAGTGAAAATTCTATTTGTTTATAGCATAAAAACGAGAAGCAAAGAATCTGATTTAACATGCAGTTTAAATTAAAAGGATGTATAACCTAACTCCTTAGTTTCCTGCATTGATACTACTGTGCCATGTAACTGTCACTAAATAGAACAAAAGGTGATAACATACATATTTAGTAACCCAAACATGTTAGATAGTCTAGCAGTTGTAAATGCTGACACAATTCCCATCTATATTTAAATCACACACATGTATATAAATAACAGGCAAAGGGAGAAAAACTATTAAAACTTACATAAAAGGCCACAGCATGCTCAGAGGAAGAAAATACACTAGCTTATTTTTATTTCTCTTAATGGGTGCTTCTCTTCTAGAGGAGCCCTCTACATTATCTGGTAGGTAGTTTTGGGCAGGAGGCTAATGATTTGTTACAGAGACCTTGAGGAAAATATGACTCACCTTATTCTTGTGCTCAAAAATCTTTTGTTTTCTCTCTTCACCTTTGTCTCCCTTCCTCATTCCCCTCATCCTACCACTGAGGGTAACTGTTTTTATCTTTTCAGGCAATGAAATGAATATTATGATATAAATCAGCTTACTAAATGGGAGAAGGGAAAGGAAATAGGACAGTGAAAAAGAAGGTAGAAAGGAGAACTATGAGAAGAGGATGGAAGAAACAGAAACTCGATCAGAAACAGTAAACTAAGAAAACCTAACTCTTAAAAAAGTAAACTTAGTAGAATCAGAGAAACTATTAACGTAATATTTTTTTATTTCAACTCCCCCATATCTTAAAGCTAAGCCTGATTATTATTTGGAAATGATAAAATTCATTTATGTTCGTTATATTTGAAAAAGATTTGCAAATCTTAATTAGTAAGTAAACAATTTCATCTCGTTGTTGCAAGGACTACTGGATTACTCAAATTTATTTTAAAATACCTGGAAAAATACACGTGGAAGAAGAATAAAGACAACTACTAAGTAAAATGCTCTAGGATTAAGGTGAATAATTTGGTGTAAATGAACATTGGAAGTCTGAACAGTAGCATACTGTTTATATATGATAAATAAAGTAATGTGACCATTCCCAAATATAAAAATCCTGAAGTCCACAACTGATACATTTTTGGGTGGGGGGGGAAGAGGGAAGTCTAATAAAAAAAATCTCTAGCTCAAGAAGTTAAAAACTGTAGTGCTGTAGAAAAATGGAAAAAAACAAATTTGTACTATCAGGGAAACAATGGCTGAAGAATAATGATGGGGCTCTCTTCACAAAGGATGGTATCATGCTGGGCTTCCCTTTCACCAAAAAGAATGCAATTGAATTTTGTGAATAACATTTAACTTAAGACATCAAGATACATTTCCCAACATAAAAAGTTATTGAGTATTGAAAAAATTTTGAGTAAAATGAATAATGTAAGTTTATAGAATCTTTACAGAACCCTTTAAGGATAAGTCCACATTACTCCATGTATAACTGAATTGCACTGTGGGCTTTATAACAAGAGTTTAGCATTGTGGGTTCTGGATTCAAGATTAGTTAGATTTAGCGCAAGGACCTATATTTAATATCTTATAAAATAACCTATAATGGAAAAGAATCTGAAAAAGAATATATATGTGTGTGTGTGTATACA